AGATAAAAGAAAACATTTTATGGGGGAAAAAAAATAAAACTGATTATTCAGTAACCACAGGTGGTCAAGACTTTCATTTCACATCACATTTGACACTAGAACAACCATCTAACCAGCAGAAGTAGCATGCAACCAGACACAGTGAGCACCAGCATGGCTACCATAGAGTCCCCTGGCTGCCTCTCATGTTGCTACTTGATTTCTCTTCAGACTTACTCTGTTTCCTTCTGGTGCTCATAAATAATCACATTGACTGACATGAGGAAATGTTCTGGATAGTCTTCTGCATCATGAAATAAAACCATCTATATCAGAACTATCATTAAAGATGAGCCAGGGGCCTTCCCTGGTGGCGCAGTGGTTGAGAGTCCGCCTGCCGATGCAGGGGACACGGGTTCATGCCCCGGTCCGAGAAGATCCCATGTGCCGCGGAGCGGCTGGGCCCGTGAGCCACGGCCGCTGAGCCTGCGCGTCCGGAGCCTGTGCTCCACAACGGGAGACGCCACAACAGTGAGAGGCCAAAGTACAGCAAAAAAAAAAAAAAAAGAGCCAGAAGAGCCAGAAATTATAGTGTCTCTTGCTTGCCTCTGAAACTCTGAAGTGACAGCCTCCAAACTCATGTTAAAAGAAGAGGCAGAGGGGACAAGAAGGGTAGATTTGCCCTCCATAAACATAAAGTCCAGGACTGCATTTCCACTCAGGTCATAACCAGACTTGCCAACCTTGCCTTTTAGCTTTCTGAAGATTATATGGGAAGCAAATGTTGCTATCAATTGCTTGGCAAAATTATGAGAGCTTCAGAGAAGGCCCAACAGAATCAGTCTTTTTCATATTTATAATTATGTGTCTCAATCTTATATTGATTAGAAATCTGACAGTATTTTATAATTATGACATTGTTATAATTATATATATAATAGTTATATAATATATATATAACTATATATGTTATAATTATAATTATCTGACAGTATTTATATGTGTATAATCTGCTTACAAAAGTTCATCTATAGTGCCTTCTGAACAGTGAGTATAGAACGAACAGAAGGACTTGTAGTATTTACACCAGTTACAGCTGTTTGGGGAGTTACTCTTAGTTAGCCACTTAGCTTATTTCTCCAAAATATTAAGGCAAAAAACACAACTTCAGAAAGGAAGAACTACATCTTTATCTGACCCAATTCCAAACCTTAACACTTGCATACCCTGAATATGAACATAGGACCCTAATTCCTCAAAATCTTTATATGGCAACAGTCATGAGGTGTACAGAACTTCTATCTCAGGAAATATTTTCTAACCTAAATTTTATACTGAAAGCATTTCTCTATAACTTCAAGTCAGCATTAAAGGGATTACTCAAAAGTTTTACTTTGTCTCTAAACTACGTGGGCAATACAAAATGTAGACCTCTCAACACCTCTCTTTGGAGTATGAATGTCACACATAAACCAGCAATGAAATCTGGAAAGCTGGGTTTTTTTCCCATAAATTGAACTCTATGATATAAAAACCATGAAATATTCTCTCTGTTTTCAAAGATATTGAATAGGAAAACAAATAAAGAATGTATTTTACTATTGAAAATAAAAGGACTTGTTATGTGAAGACGACAATGGCCTAGTATCCAGAAAAAAATACAAAGAATGTGTTGAATAACAATTCTATGAATGTATTCAATCATTTTGATAAATGGGTAAAATATATCTTAATCAGCTTAATAGCTGAATATATCATGACTATTGTAACATACTTTCTGCACAGTAGTAGATTCTACTTTAGTTCTAAAATTTCTAGAGAATCAGCATATTCACCATGAATAACATCTTAACAGCTCTGTTCAAAACATACTTCCTACTTAATCATCCACATAAACTCTGCCATTTAATCAGTACTCATAAATTAAGTATCTATTATATGCTAGGTATCAGAACTACAAATGTGTATGTGCGTGTGTATGACTGTGCCTTTAAGGAGAAATACAGTGCATAGAAAGCCAGACATGTAAACACACAAATTATAATACAGACCGTGAGAAAAGATATAAACAAGTACCATGGATAAAAGAATAATGCAGCAACCATTCTGCCTTGGGAAGTCAGTGAAAGCATCTAAAAAGAAGCAATTTTGAACTCAGTCTCGTGGGAGAAACACAATTCACCAGGGCTGTAAAATATGAAAAAGAGTTTTCCAGCTAGAAAGAATAAGTATGTGTCATTTGAGGTCACCTGGTATGTTTATGAACATATATGAAAATCTTTGCATGAATGAAGCACTGGGTCTATGGCGGGATGGGGCCAAAGAGGAGACAAAAGCCATATTTTGGTGCTGGTCTATATAGAGTTTCATGCTAAGATAGTTTTAGACTAAATCCTGTAGGCAACAAGGACATACACTAGTTTCCAAAGAGGGATAAATAATCCAACTCTTTTCTCAGGGAAATAAGTCTAGTGGAAGTTGAAAGGAAGACTGGAAAGAGGAGAGGCTGGAAGTTTGAGATCATAGAGGAGACTCTTCAACTGTTAGAGATGAAAAGCTGGTGGAATCAAGAAACTTTTGAGGCAGAAACAAACTTAGAAACCAATTAGATATATAGTAAGAGAAAATATCAGTGCTGATGTCGCTAAAACTAAGTTAAATCATTTGTATACCAAGTGTATTAACTTCAAGAACAGTAGATCTTAGTCTTTTTTGGGCTACAGATTTACTTGAGAATCTGGTGAAAACCAAAACCCTACTCACATGTGTGCACATACAGAATTCTCCAGTCATCTTCAGGAGATCCACAGACCAGAGTTAAGAACTTCTCTCCTAGGTAAAGCTGCTTGAGGAAAGGAGCTGTGCCTTATGCAAATCTATTTCCATAGTGCACAACAAAAAACTTGGTACAAAGTAGGCAGTTCATAGGTTTCATTTAGTTAAACTGAATTCTCCATTACAAACTGAATGATTTCATTTCCACTAACACCCTGCATCACAGCATCCACTCATGCCAACTATAGTATGTAATTTAATATACTTTTCTCATACCCATCCTTGAGTATTTAAGATAATTTCCCCTTTATCTTTCTGGTATTCTTCTAGTAATAATTATTTATATTCACTCCTTTAAATGTGTGTGTTTCTGTTTATAGCAGTAGTACAGGAAAACCAAACCAAGAAGCACTCTCCATAGGGTACTCCCTGAAAGAAGGCAATGGTCAAAATATTGAGAGGGAAAAAGCATGAGAACTGATGCAATGTCAAACGGGGAATGCGACCTAGAGTCTCTACCCTGTTGAGCTGCATACTACCATTTCCCCCCTTTCTTTTCCTAGTTTAACCTTTGTGAGAGGAGGCGAAGAAGTTATATCACTGCACGTAACTAACATGAATTCACAGTAGAGGGAAAAAAAGGAGGAATTATGGATTTAATTTACCAAATAAGAGATGATCAGAAAATTAAATATGTGTGTACTCTTGTAAAGAGCTTATAATGTTTATAAGCATGGAATCCAAAGCCAGACTGCTTGGGTAAACCCTGGTTCTCCCACTTACTAGCTGTGATCTGAAGCAAACTATTTAACCTCACTGTGCCTCAGTTTCCTCCTCATCTGTAAAGTGGGATTAATGATAACACTTCATTGAATTATTGTGAAGGTTAAACGAGTAATATATGTCACGTGCTTGAAACAACACATCTGTAAAAGCGCTATATAAGTGTTAGCGAAAACATTATTTTTGGTAAGAAAATTTTGGTGCACAGTCAAAAATACCCAGAGAAATTCTGACCTATGAGGCTTAAAATGTTGAATGGAAGTAGTTAAATCTAATGTGAATTATCAAAAAACAGTGTTTATTTCCCAGATATTAGAAGATAATCTGATTCTTCTTGCTGATTTAATTCCACATTGCATATGTAATGCAATGACATACACAAGTGGGCATATTTCAGGACCGAACATGTTTATGATGTGTAATAATTTCCTAGAGAAGGCCAAAAAAACAAACAAAACGAAAAAAAAATGAAGGATTTAACAGAATCAGAGCTGTTCTTAAAGGTATGAGGATGTGTGATGAAATATTTTTGTTGGTGTGATCTGGCTCAAATTAAGAGCACTGACCTCCTTGAAGTAGAAGGGCCACAAAAAATGTGACATCCACCCAAGAAGCCATGTTGAAAAGGCGAGGGTGGCTTTACTGGCACCTAAGTGCCCTGCTACCTTGCTGGCATGCTGAGTCTATGCATTTAAGTTCCAAAGAAGAACCTAAAGGCCTCATTTATTTGTTTGTGTGTCTGCTGTTTAAGGTTCAGCCAAAGATGCTATGCTGTCTTCTTCCCTCTCATCCATGAAACCACAGCTTCATAACCCTCTGCAGTGATCCAGACCCCAGGATGAAGGGCCAGATAAATTATCCTGAGCTCCAAATCCTAGAATAGGAGGTACCAGGGAATTACTGAATTATCAGAGCAACAGAGTGAATGACACTGAGTTAAAAATTAGTGCAGTAACGTTAGAAAAGTATTGTCTCTTTGAAATATATTCTTCTGTAATATTCCCAGTACTGTAAGAAACACTGGAATCCGATCTGGGCAAAGCAGAAATTGAAAAAGCACTGATTTATCATGGTGGAAATGTTCAAACTATGTTGCAGCTTTATCTGGAAAAATATTTTCCTAGAAATATTATGATACCTAACTTTCATGAGGACTAACTTTAAATGTGTTACTTTAACATTATTCTTATATTATGTTTTTCCCCTAATTAAGCTGGGAGTGCCTCAAAAGCAGAATTCTTGAAAAACAAAATCAAAACAAAACAAAACAAAACAAAAATAGCCTATTTATACTCCCTACTGGAATCAATTTACTTATTAAGAATTTTAAGATGTTAGGAGTGAATCTTGTGTATGGCTATTAAGTAGATGGTAATTACAAAGCCTAGGACTGAAGCTAAACTACTAGAGGAGTAGACTGGTCACAAAGTGAGTGTAGGCACAATAGACCATGAGAAACCTACCATTGTATTGTGCTGAGAAGTGGGAGTCCTATGGCCACAAGTCTCTTGCGTCAGCAGAGAAACTGGCTGAAATTCCTCAGAGTGAGGCTTGTTGGGAAAACTCACATGCAAGGGAAGGTGAAAGGCTGGGAGCCCGTCACTCTCCTCTTCTTCCACTTTCTGTCTGCTTGTCACCATGGCTACCTCTCCATCTGCTTCCCCATACGGAGAGGCTGGTCGCTTGGAAGACATCCTGGAAGGAACAAAAGAGGAGAAAATAATGAAACCTCCACATAAATCCTTAATGCCGTTATTGTGTGGTTAGGGGCCATTGTAACAGAAACGCCTTTTTGTGCTGGCAGAGAGCAGGAAACCATCCAAATACCACTGCAAAGCACACGCAATCAGAAACAATGGCCAAGCAGGTAGCAACAGAACAGTGCTTGTTTGTTGTAAGAATAATACGCTAATATAGCACTCTCTTGTATTCTGGCTTCTTAAACAAGAGAATTCACCTAAGAACACTGCATAATGAAAGACTGTTCCATTTTAAAGGAAAGAAAAATACCCATCTCATTTTACACTTTGATAGACCTTATTGAAGACAGGACATCTATGAATAGCAAATACTGTTGGCAGTTAAAAGAAGAGAAATAACTAAAATTTCTTTCATCAAAAAATAAAGTAAATGGATGGTTGCCATTATAATGATTTGCATTTTATTAAAGGTAAGATTATTATAAAATGTAGAAATATTTGTTATCAGCAAACCTCAGATCACAAAACAAAAAGTTTGATATTTGTTTAAAGCTTATTAAGAACTGAATAAATTTTACAATCACTGTTAATTCTGAAACATTTGAGGATTTTTCTCTCTCACCTCCCCATCACCCAATTTTGACATTTAATTCTAATATAAAATTTGCAAGTAGTAAAAAAGGTAACAATATAAAACTATTTCAGTTTTATTTCCACAGTTCCCTGAAATATTTAGATGTGGATTCTCAGATTTATTTATTCCTTAGAATAACTAAGTAAAAGAAAAAAATCAAATAAGGATGTTTTGTTTTGATGAGCTAATGCCTATAGGACAATGCACTTAGATAACTGAACAAAAAGTAAATATTTTTTTGTACTTGAGTCTGGTTGAGAATGTTATCAGAGGTTAAAAAATAAGTGGCAAATATTTTTAGTTAAACATAAGAAATCCTTTTCTTTTCATTAAAAGTTTTACATAGAAGCAGTACAGAGTTAAAATTTTTTATTTTAAAAAAAAAACCTCTCTTGGATTTACAACTTGACCTGAACTTGAAAAAGCCCTAATTTTTGTTCAACAAACAAAGAGTGCTTACAGAATCATCCATTCGTACCCTAGACCAGTGGTATAGGAGGCAAGAAAGTTAACTGCCACATCACTTGCTTCATATATATCACTGATTTTTAAACTTAAAATGTACTACCAAAAAAGGGGCCTTTAATCACCATTGAATAATACTATTCTTAGTGTTAGACGTTTAAAAAGAAAAGTGTATTCAAGGGCTGAATATATTCTATGAAGATATAATAGCACAGTAGAAAAAAATAAAGGGAATTAAAATACTGATTCTGCTACTTACTACATGTGAGACTTACTTTAATCTCTATATCAATTTACTCACCTTTAAAGTGAGATGTCATATCTACTTGTAATACTTTTTTGAGAAGGAACTGTTTCCATAAGAAAAGTGACTTGTAGAGCACTTTGCTAGGAGTAGACACTCAGTAACTAACAGTAGCTGGTGTTTATTTTATAAACTTTAAAACTACAGTGTGACCCACCCCCCTCAAAAACAGAGAAGACAAAAAAACCTCCAAAATAACAATGCAGATTGCCTTCTAAGACTTAAAACTGTAAAATCAACATGAAATACACAGTCTCCCAATAGAGAAATGCTCCCTGGCCAGTCATACTTGACAGTAAACTGATCAAATGTATTAGCAAGTGTTAAAGAAAAAATGTTAATAGCAGGGGTCTTGATCAGCTGAATAACAGAGGAAAAGGAGGAAATGATAGTGGTTACCATGTAAGCACTGTTTAAAGGAGAAGCAGACTGGGCCAGCACATTTCAGGTATCTTTAGTTCTGATCTCATTACCAAGGTTTACTCCAAGTATACTCTAAGTATGTAGAAAGAGTAAGGGGCTGGAGTTAACAGACCTAGAAAAGTCTTAGTCTTGTTGGCGACACCGTATCTATCACCAAATTGATAGATTAAACTATACATAGTAACTCTTAACACTAGAGAGATTTAACTACCACTGTTTTGTTTCCACGCTCTCCAAGCGAACCTCTGATTCCCGTAAAGAGAATGGAGTAACAGAACAGACTTAAAATACGTAAGGTCTTTGAGAAGTGATCTATCAGATTAAATCAATAAAGAGACTTCTAATTATTTCTTGGTTTCACATGAAGCTTGACTACAAGGAGATCATTCATTTATTACATAAACCATAGTATTTAGGGTCTGTGTGGGCATTACTATTCTTGCTGGAATTAACAGTCTGGTATTTTGGAGCCTACCTCAGTCTTACGTATAATCAGTCTCTTAACGGTCTGAAAATTCCAGGCTACTATCCAGAGTCAGTTTCTGGGTTATCAAAGCAGAAAGCTAGATTAGCTGGCTTTTCCTAAGTTAATACAATTCTATGACTTTCAGAAGGCATGACCTTTTTGCTGACTTCTATTTCATTAACATCATTATTAATAATGATTATGAAAATTAAAAGTCTAAAAGTAGACATAAGGTATATAAGGTAGATAGTTAAGATATTGCTATTCTCAAGACTTCTAGTTCTTTCAATATCTAAATTATCTTTATATCCAACTGGATAAACAGTCTCTCCATTTACATATCACTCTATGGAGAAAAAAGTATAAGGTCTAAAACACCATGAAGGAGGCATGGTGCCAAAAGGCAAGTTGATCCTAAAATATTACATATTTCATCTTTATTTCAACTCCATTTTCAGAGACTTATAGAATGCTCTTAAATGTGTTGGACTTAAGAGTATTTTTATGCAGTTCAGGTAAAAGATTTCTTAAAGATTTTTTAAATTATTAGAATAAAAATGACTGTGGTTACAGTTCAGTAATAGGCTAGAAAAATGAGAAAAAAGTAAAATACATAAATTATGTAAAGAGCTATCAATCTGTTGGTTGCATCATCTATGTCTAGTCTACCAAAGTTTGTCTACCAAAGGGTTTCATTTTGGATAGAAGAAAGTCTCAATTTAAAAAAAAGCATTAAGGAGGCACTGAAAATTTCCATGTATTGTCTGTGTGGGATATGTAGGGTTCCAATACCTGCAGCTTCCACTACACGTCTGTGCTAGAGTCCAAGGACACCTTAGAACAACTTGAGTATCTAGGCTGAGCTATGCTCTTCTGTATTCATTCAGAGATGATTTTTGTCATTCCTGTGGTAGGTGCTAGACCTACCAATGAACAAAACTCAGACTTCAAAGAACCTGACATGAGACTGACAAATACAATCTAGTGTGAAACTAACTTCTGGAGTTAGTTTATAACTATCACTATTATAGTTTATAATAGTAGTCTTTAACTCACTTTTTTGTGCGTGGACAAGAAAATCTTCTTGAAAGAACTGATGTCTAATTCCAGGACCAAAGGGAATCTTTAAATCATCAACAACCCTTTACTCACTACCTACTATGTGCAAGACTATTCTCTAATGGGAATAAAAAAGTGTAATTCAGGGTCTCTGCTTTAAAAGCTTATGAATGGGATTTCCCTGGTAGCGCAGTGGTTAAGAATCCACCTGCCAATGCAGGGGACATGGGTTTGAGCCCTGGTCCGGAAAGATCCCACATGCCGCAGAGCAACTAAGCCCGTGCGCCACAACTACTGAGCCTGCGTGCCTAGAGCCCGTGCTCCACAACAAGAGAAGCCACCGCAGTGAGAAGCATGCTCATCGCAAGAAGAGTAGCCCCAGCTAGCCGCAACTAGAGAAAGCCCACGCGCAGCAACGAAGACCCAATGAAGCCAAAAAAATAATAATAAAATAAAATAAAAAGCTTATGAACTGTTTGTGAAAATTTTAAATAAAACGAGAAATAATGATGGAAGACAGTTCAGGTTAAGGGCCAAATGACATTATAATTAAGCACCCGAGGGCTTCATGAAGGCCAAAGGATTGTGAAATGCTTCAGGGAATCACTGAACAGTTGGATTTTGAGGGAAAAGAAGGACAAACAGAAACCTTGGGATAAAATGGAGATGGAACCTTACGTAGGGAGTCATGATAAAAGAAAAGATGCAGAGATGGTTTTAGGATGTATAATATAAATTTAAGTTTCAAGCTTACTTGGGAAAAGGGGAGACACAGGAATATAGACTAAATCCCATTTCTAGTCTATAACATTCCTGGAGTTGCTGAGTTACATGAATGTAATAGATAAGAAAGAGACTCCCTTGTAAGGGGCAACTTGGTCTTACAAGGAGTCACTTTTCCTTCAGCTGTCGCTGGAGAAATCTGCACAATCAGGCTACTCTAGTCCATACGTGAAAGTAATTTTAAAACTACCGGAGTCCTTTGCTATTGGCTAAAGGCTATGTAAATAGGATGTCCCCAACTGTATTCGGATATATATAGCAAACTTAGGGTCAGAGTAAATAAAAGACGTAATAAGACTGCAACAGAAATCTAAGCCAGTGGTTTTCAACTTTGAATACATATTGGAACTATATGGAGAGGTTTAAAAAAATACTGCTGCCTGGGTCCCACTGCCAGACATTTCGATGTTATTGGTTTCAGAATGCACACAGGGTATCAGAAATTTTGAAAGCTTCCAGGTGATTCTAATGCACAGTTAAGGTTGCAGACCCACTGTGCTAGTCAGAATAATGCCTCTCACCCAAGATGTCCAAATCCTAATCCCTGAAACCTGTGAATATGTTTCCTTATAAGGCAAAGGGACTTTGCAGCTATGATTAAGTTAAGGATCTTGGGATAAGGAGACGATCCTGGATATTCTGGGTGGACCAAAAGTAATCACAAAGATCCTTATAAGGGTGGGAGGCAGGAGGATCAGAGTGAGAGAGAGAGAGATTGGAAGATACCATGTGGCTGGCTTTGAAAATGGATGATGCGGTCGTGAGCCTCTTAGGAGGTAGAAAAGGTAATGAAACAAACTCCCCCCTAGAGCCTCTAGAAAGAATGAGCTTTGCCAACACCTTGAATGTAAGACTTCTAAC